TATATATATATATATATATATTTAAAACTTCTGTATTGATCGTATCTCTGAAATGCGAAACTTACAATCTATGCATTCGAAAATAACAGGTTTAAACGCGTTGCATAGGAGTTTGGAATTTCTAAAGTTTGGAGATTACGTCTTCTAATTTTGTGCACTATATCTGGACATAGCTGCCTAAACCGCGTTTGCTAGCCTTGATAAGTTTCAAATTATTTTACGCGGCCTTTTTGGTAATGATATATTTTACAGCATGCAGCCTCTTACTCATACACGTAACGTCAAAATGTTATCGCTATTTCCATCCAAAATGCTGGTTTACGTAGGTTTACACGCGTTTACCTGGATTTACACACGTTATTATAAGAGTTTGGAATTTATAAAGTGTAGAGATTACGTGTACTAATATATTTTGTATATTATATCTGGGCACTAGTTACCTAAACCGCATTTTCTAGCCTTTACTTGGTCTACATTATTTTACGCAGCTTTGTGGATGATGATATATTTTACAAGATGCAGCCTCTTAAAAAAACTTTATCTCTATTTCCATCTCAAATGCTTGAATGAACCCCATTCTTTAGTTCTCCTACTTCATGCATTGTCGTCTAAAACGATATGGCCCTCCTATTTCAGTTATGAGGCGGAAGTTCTGCTGGGAGGATTTTTTCCCCTAAGAACAGTTAATTTCTGAAATAGGCTCCACGTTGATGTTTTTCGAATGCCTCCTCTCGTCATATATTCTAATCATGGGCCAGCCCTTACCTATCCTCGACATCCTCATAATCTTCAATCCTTACCTTCTATTCTTAGATCTATATCACACAGCCCATTCAGTTACACTCTACTGTGAATGGCTCTTGAACTTAGATATGATGAACATAAGTGAAAAAAAATCACCCCTTGATAAAAGTGTTTCTCTTCCTTCGCTCATTGATGTGTTTACATATATATTAAGAACGATTTGGGCACTTCAAGGTTTTGTAATGGTTAGCAATCTTCTCTCGCTAGAATAATTACGACTGAGTACTGAGTTCGATTCTCACTGGATGCCCCCTACTTTCGGCCTTGTGCCACATCTGAGCTACGCTTGGAAAATCACTATATTAAGAACGGGTGCTTCCATAAACAAATCATGATCATTGTGCATTTTGCCTGATTTTTTTTAAATGAGTTGATCACATTAGCATCCTCTTGGAATATGATTGGTCGTACACAGGGTGTTCCCCCACCAAAAGAAATGTATTCCCTATTTTAAAATTATTCACCATTCTCTTGATGGTTCTTGAATGGACTTTGAAGATGGAAGTCAGCGTAGAATATCGGTACCATTAATTAAGGCATGAATGATTTTTTTTTCAGACAGTGTGGCTGACACAAAACCATTTTTAGCTATTCTCTTTTTAGCTGAATAACACAAAGCGTTTTTCAGTAATTCTTACTGAAAATTATATCAAGATATCTAAAAGACTTATCTGAAAATATTTCAAAAAGAAACTCAAATATTGGTCCTTTATGTATGAAACATTTTGTGGGATGGATAACTATTATGGTACATGATTTGTACGATTTTTCTGTTACACCTGCTATAAGCGGATAGAGAGAGTTGTATTATGGTTAGAGTAAAAGTGGGTATCTAGTAATTGGTCGGATGACAGAATATCTAGAGACAATTTGCAAGGTGAGTAGATTCGAAAAAGCGAGAGATTCGAAAAAGAAAATCGTGAATATATCAGTCAGTTATGTGCCCTGCGAGATACACGCCTAGGCATTCATCTTTCGATACTTGACTGACGAGGCAGATGCTTTCCCACAGTAGGTTGCAACTTCTTTCTGCGGTAGACCAGGGTAGGGGTAGAAGAAGAGGATACATAACTTGCCCAGTCATTAGAACTTAAGTGAATGTAATGGACTCGACGGTAATCGAACTGGGCTCTCCGATTTGTCAATCCGAGCCGCTATCCATTAATCCACCGTTTGTTTTTTTGTATATATTGTTTGTATATATATATATATATATATATATATATATATATATATATATATATATATATATATATATATATATATATATATATATATATATATATATATATATATATATATATATATATATATATATATATATATATATATATATATATATATATATATATTTATATTATATATATATATATATATATATATATATATATATATATATATATATATATATATATATATATATATATATATATATTATTTTATATTATATATAAGCACCGTTCTTATATATATATATATTTTTATAATATATATATATACATACATATATATATATATATATATATATATATGACAAGGGCAATCAGAAGACAAAATATTGAATTGGTTTGAGTCGTTTGAATATATATATATATATAAATATATATAGCCATTACAAATCAAATATTGAATTTAGTTTGACTTCTCGTGTTTGATATATATATATATATATAATATAAGCATATGATGAGAATCAAGTGACAAAATATTGAATTGGTTTGCGTGCTGATATATATATATATATATATATATATATATATATATATATATATAAACGAAAGCATATATAATATATATATTTGAATATATATATATATATATATATATATTTACATATATATAATATAGGTCTAGTAAAATATTGAATTGGTTTGAATTCTCGTGTTTGATATATATATATATATATATATATATATATATATAAAATATATATATATATATATATATATATAATGACAATCATATGATAGAATCAAGTGACAAAATATTGAATTGGTTTGAATTCTCGTGTTTGATATATATATGTGTGTGTGTGTTTGTATGAGTGAATGCGAACTGAACCACTTTAATTATGTGTATGTGTATATTATGCATTAAATAAACTGCATCGCATTAATCGTCAACGCACTTAACCTCCTGTAATTATGTGTGTGTACGTTTGTGTGTGTAGCCTGTGGCGCACCCCAGGTAATGCCAAATTAGACTTTTCATTCAGTGTTACACCAGAGCTTCAGAGAAAGCAGGTTCCCCAGCAGTGTTAAACTGGAAGATGACCTAGCAACAACATACAGATATAAACCTGGTTGGATCGCATTGGCCACCCCGGCATGTGAACATGTAGTCGACGAACAGGAACAAACTGGATGATATGCAGATATATAAGCACAAAACCGAGAGGAAATACAAAGAGCTCTCTTTTAAATCCGCGCGAGAATGTATAACCCATTTTCGCATGTCAGGTTGATTTTTTGCGTCGTTTTTTTTTACGTGCGTGAAATGCAGCAGTTATTTGAATGTATAATTCTTTAGTATGCTTAAAATGGCAATTTAATAGACGTGTTGGAATTGTAATGTCAGGCCGATGACGAGAATCAAAATGAACGAAGAATCGAAAGGATTTGCGTCTAGAAATCGTATTTTTCATAAGTAGATATATAAGCACCCACCCTAGAGGGAAAACAAAGCGAGTGCTTTCCATATATCCGCTCTAGAATGTATAGAGAAAACAATAAAATCATACAAATCATACCTAGTCGATATTAAATGAATCGGGAATAATATAATAGAATTAGTCTCCTGTTTCTTTTGGTTTGTATGTCGATAACGCTATATGTCTAAGGTCGGTATCGAAGTGTAGATGTTTATACGTTTATAGATATGCATGTGCATATGTGAGCATGTTTTAGATAAAGTTCAGGTGGAAAATATATTTTATATGTGTAAAATGGGTAATGAATGGAAAGACGTCGAATTCATGAACTTGTATGTGATTGCATGCGTGTGAGGAAGGTATGTATTTATTTGAGCAAGAGAAATAAATGGCTCTCAGTTAAGTAGAAGGAACTGGGAAGCCAGAAAAAAAATTGTATAAGAATTTAAAGGAAACGAAAACGCGGCAAAAAGTTTCACGAAAAAGAAAACAGGTGAAATAAAGTATAAAAAACATTCCCTATATATATATATATATATATATATATATATATATATATATATATATATATGAAGAAAAAAAAATCCGAGATACCGCATTCGTCTTAATCACATGATCAATATCCATAATTCTTTTTTCCGACCTCCGGAACAACCCTTCTCGCCCCATGGAACAGAGGAAAAAAAATATAATAAATGTCGACTCACTCAAATGATCACGTTTTGTTACTGGCCATAGAAAGAGGAAGATGTAAAAAAGAATATACACAAACAAAAAATTAAGGTTAAATTTAAAACTAAATCTTTATTTCATTCTTTATATTCTTTCATAATCTTCATTTCTTTTCTTCTTTTACGTCCCTCAAGTAAATCCTTACGTGTAGCTTTTAACGCATCTTATTGATAATTTTTTTTTTTCATCGGCAACTGTATTACTTTCCTATTCTTATCCAGATATCTTTATTTCTTTAGTTAAATCGTTGTCTTTTTCTCCCTCTCCATATTTCCGTAACGTAGATTAAAACATTATTTCTGTCTTCCGTTGAATTTCTTTCGTTCTCTTTTTGTTTCTTTTTGCCTCAATATTTATTATGTCTGACTCAGAAAAAAATTGCCGTTTTCTTAAGCACAGCTTCCAAATTTTATATATATATATATATATTTTTTTATTTTTTAATGTCATATTCCATATAGAGTCAATGAAGAAAGTCGGTCACATCTCTTTATTTAAAGTTTACTTTTCTGAAACAATTTATTCTCGTTCATTGACACTCAGAGTTCTTTTGCGTCTACCCCCTTTTCTTTCTTATTGCAGCAAATGCGTTCGTTATAGGTTATATTACAGTTATCTATCTATCTATCTATCTATCTATCTATCTATATATATATATATATATATATATATATATATATATATATATATATATATATATATAAAGATATGTTGTATATATTATATATAAAGAAAAATCTATCTATCTATCTATCTATCTATCTATCTATCTATCTATCTATCTATCTATCTATCTATCTATCTATCTCGATGAAGGAAATTCGGATTACAATCACACAAACAGAAAATATCTCCTATCGATAATATTTAACATTGAACATGAGGCAAAATTAATTATTTTTAATAATATGGGGAAATCTCCACTTTTACCTGAAGACGGTCGCGAGACCAGAAACACGTGTCGTAAAATTGTGTAAAACAAAGTATAATATTTTTTCTAAATAAATCCACATTACAACCAAAAAAGTTAGCGGCACCTCTCTTCTCTTCTTTTTAATATATATATATATATATATATATATATATATATATATATAGAGAGAGAGAGAGAGAGAGAGAGGAGGGGAAGAGATAGAGGAGTGAGAGGGATCCGTGGAGATGCGTAGATGTGAGCTCGTGCCTTTAACAACATCAATAGTTCCGTAGCCAAATGATTTAAAAGGCATTATATTGTGCATTAAATAAACTGCATCGCAATAATCGTCAACGCACTTAACCCCCTGTATTTTTAAACGAAAATTATACAGTAACTATTTTAGATCAAACTGAATAAATACCTCATCCTAGTTCAGACTTCTGCCTATCTATCTATCTATCTATCTATCTATCTATCTATCTATCTATCTATTGAAACGTATATGAGCACGCTGAGTATGACGATAAACTATATCTAGCAAGAAGGCCTCAGATTGTGTGATTGTAGATGTTGAAGAGCGTAGAACTACCTCTTAACTGCTGCTGTTCCCAGGTTAGGGTCCTAACTATGTGAAGACAGTTAATCCCCAACCAAAAATCAATTGTATATTTTTATAATAAAATGACCAATAATACATTTTTTATCGCAATCTGACAATTAATGCAACGCTAAAAACAGTATAAAAACTTCATTTTTATAGTAAAAATTTCGATAATAACTTATGATCTATAAACGATAACACTAAAAAACATACGGTTGCCCTGAAAGTATAAAATTATGTATGAAATATCTGGGCTTGAAATCATAAAACTACTTAAAAAATATTTAGATAAATAAATAAACCATGGAATTTGATACCCGGCTAAACAAAACGAACCAACCAAAAAACCAACAATATCTATTTATAGTAAAATTACTAATAATACATATTTGAATCAATGCGACCAATAATACACATTACCTCTATTTGAAAGCATGCAATTGCGTTAAAAATATATTTACTTAAAGCCATAAAATTGTGTTCAAAATATTTAGATTTCGGCATTAAATAGCCCATAGAAGTTAATATGCCAATAAAGAAAATCAACCAATCAACACACATGAATGTCGTGTTTGGCGTTCAACAAGGAAGATCTAAATTCATGGATGACATACATGAGGTTCAACTCGTTTGAGACTGTCTCATTTCTCATGTGTATGCAACCTGTTTTTCTCATATCAATTATTAAAACTGGCTTTAAGTGAATGAGCTCTTCAGCAATATTTTATGAACCATGTTCCTTCCCGGACGATGGCGATCAAGGCTCTCCACAACATACTGTCTTTTGTAGCTATTATTAACTATTTTCTTTAGGCTAACTATCCCAATCGCTGTTCTCTCATCCATTCAATCAAGATTGCTGAGGACTACAGCTAATGTTGAAATGTTTCTTGCTTCAGTGTAATATTCAGGCTATATATATATATATATATATATATATATATATATATATATATATATATATATATATATATATATAAAGATATATGCTCCTGAAAATTTATTTCAGTTGAGCTCTCTGGGGAGGAAATGTGAGTTTGTAAACAGTGACTATTATGGCTAATAACGCAAGACTCTTCGGTAAATCGAATTGAGTTCTCTCAGTCACTGGGTGTTTATCTAAAAATAAATACACTTAAAATTCACCCTCCTCCCTGCCGTGCGCCAACGGTTTAGTGGTAGAATCCCCGACTGACGCCAATTCAATCGGGTTTCGATCCTAACTAGAGGCAACTGGATGTTTAGCCACACTGATGAGTTGTGATACAGCGAAACAGTCTGTCTGTGGATGACAATATATATAAAGATATGTATATATAAATTATAAAGAAAGAACAGTAAGATATATAATCCGGTGTTCTTATAGATATTTTTATTTTACAAAATGGTGCTCAATGTAAATTTACAGAGCATTAATATTATAAATTAATTGATTTAAATATGTTTTTTCGCTACACAGTTCTAACCATGTTTCAAAAAATAAAACATGGTTAAATCAATTAGAATAATATATATTATATATATATATATATATATATATATATATATATATATATATATATATATATATATATATATATATATATATATATATATATATATATATATATAGAGAGAGAGAGAGACAGACAGACAGACAGACAGAAAGAAAAAAGAAAGAGAAAGAGAAATAGACGTATATAAATATGGGGTTCTAGTTCTGATGATCGTGAACTGATTGCAACTTGGGTTGTAACTCGAACTGTCCCTGATTGAGTGTTCACTAGTGAAGCGATCTTTGTCCTGTCTAGAAGTTCTAGGCGTTGAGCACTGTTTTTAATTTCCTGAGTAGTTATCTTTTGGTCCTTCTTTTTTTCTTTACTTGTTCAAGATTTTTTTCTTGTTTAAGGTCGTCTGGCAAGTTTTCTGTTTGTCACACTGACACTGTTGTTCTTTTGATAATCTCTCTTTCTCTCTCTCTCTCCCCATACATATATATATATATATATATATATCGAGAGAGAGAGAGAGAGAGAGATTTTCCACTCACCCTGTCATATATCCGTTTGTTTTTATGTTGAATTCTACTTTTACTAATAGTTTTTTCTTCTTTTTGACAGGGGGGTGAGGGGGCGTAAATTTCTGTGATATAATATATTTCAATAGGGATAGAGTAAACCAGCTGAAAACCGGCATAACGAGCTTGGGTAAATGGTTGGCAGAACGCGTATCGGGAGAAATAACGAAAAAAGAAGTGTGAAGGACAAGAAATTATAGAGAGCCATGATTCCCACACCCTAAAGTTTCACAAATATTATGCTCTTTATTTCACTTTGTCCTTCTTGCCTTCAATGAGTCAAAATGTAAAAGTGGACACTGAGGTCAGCAACGAATGTTGATGATCTGTTTCTATTTGGAACGTAATTGTCAAACCATTATATATATATATATATATATATTGAGAGAGAGAGAAAAAGAAAGAAGAAGTAGTGTTGGTTGGATTTCTTCTCGTATTTGGTAGTTAGGTAGTTGGAGATATGCAATTTAATTTTATTCTCAATTAAATAAGATATTAATCGACGTGATAATGTAGTGGTTTTCTAACAAATGTTTGAATTATTATTGATTGAGACGCAGTTTTGCAAGCGAACACATAGAAGACATTGGATGGCTGAAGTTTTAACTTTTGCTGTATTGTTGGTGTTGATATCACTGGAAGTTTTATTTATTTATTTAATATCTTGTGTGTTTATTTTTTATTGTTATGTGATACATATCAATGTGTTAGATTTTTCATACTTTTTATTTTAGTTTGCAGTTATTCTATAGTTGGTTTCTCTTCAATAGTTTAATACTGCTATTTATATTGTTATTATTTATATTATTATTCTTTATTATTTTTTCCAGCGTCAGTTTAATATATTTATCCATTTTGTGGTGAAGGGGGTTAATGTGAATTAAAAATATTGTCATTGTGGAGGATATTAAATCAGCTCTATTTATTTGACTATTTATTATGTATATATTTTTTATCTGCGTGGGATTTAATGTTGTAGCTAAATAGATAAGGGCTGAAGTTGATTGTTTTGTTTGTAGATGGAGGTTATAAAGTTTGTCTTATTTGAATTAGTTTAAAAAATAGAATTCCAAAAAGAGAATTATTGTGGGAAATTAAAAAAATGACTTCTTTCCGAATGTTGCTACCCGATTTTTGTTTTCGTTCCTGTAAGTGAATATAAATATATCGTCAATGGAACAGGAGTTAAATGTTGATTTGTGGTGCTTTCTGTTCAATTTCATTTTCTAGATTTGTAATGTAACATTCTGTTAGTGTTGGGAAGAGAGGTGAACCCATAGCAACCTCGTCAGTTGTGTGCATACATTTCATGAATGGTCGTAAAAAAAATTGCCTTGTGCAGCCATGGATAGTTTCTTGAGTGTTCTTATTCTATGTTCGTAACTGGAAATAAAGAATGCTTATAAGCATTTTTATTGTAATGTCTGTTGTTTCACTGACAGATTCGTTGGTGAATAGATTTTCGGCGTGATGTTAATATTCCATTATGTGGTTTACTGACAGTGAAAATTTGGAAGAACACTTATGTAGACATAGTCATGTATTTTTAGGATAGATATAATGTAATTATTAGGATGGTCTGTAGAAATTCTAGAGAGTTGAAGAAATTTGTGAACTGATTGGTTTTAATGGGGTTCCTGGTTTATCAATATATCAGTGAAAACATCTTTAGTTCCCTTTTCAGTAATGTCCAGAATACAAAAAAAAAACTGTTTTTTCATCACATACTTTGTTCATTTATACCATATCAATGATGTTTCATACACACATGCACACACAAACACACACATGCATTTAGAGAGTACTAGACTGGCGTCAAGATCTCATCAAATTATAGTTGGGCTGCTCAGATGTAGCCGTAAATTTCTATGCTAACAGTTTCTTTTCTCACACTTCTCGCTTGTGGAACTCCTTTCCGGCTCCATTTTTTTCTAACCAACAAATCATTAAATTTAAATCAAAATATATATAATATATATATATATATATATATATATATATATATATATATATATATTATAATATTCTCAAAAAGATGTTCCGGCTTCAAGTAACCTACAAACTGTTGCTAAACTGTGAAAAAAAAAAGTAAATTAATATCGGGACAGAAAATAGGGAAGACTGGGTTCGCCAACTTTGATTGTCAATCGTCGAGAAGTAGGATACCTCTGGATTCAAAACTCATTAACTGTTCAGCTAACAACTCCATCCCGCAAAGAAGAACATAAATTTGCTTCCTAC